CCTAAATTCGAGAAAAATAGAGTATAAATCATTAAAGTATAAAAATTATTATTGTCTTAATAAAGTAATAAATTAATTTATTAAGACAAATTTCAAGAATATTCATATTTAAATTAGTTGAAACTTACAACTTATTTTTATTAACAATCTATGTTATCGATTTCAATTATTTTTAAGATAAATTACCCCATTTGTTTTTAGTTATCCTCATGAATGAAATCTCATAGATTAGAAATTTCTTTTTTATTAGCTTTGGAAATTATATAAAAGTAAAACAAATTAATAATCAAGCAATCCTCTGAATTATACTAAGTATTTAAATTTTAAAGTGGGATTTAAAATTTATATATAATTTTATTTTAAGTTGAAAAATAGTTAAATTAAGTCTAAATAACTTATCACCTAAATAAAAGTGTTTATAAAATTATGTAATCATGTGATCAAAACAGAAAGCAATCTTAAATCAGCTGGTCATAAATTACTCTCATGTACCAGGATTCTAAAAAAAGGTCTTTAGAATACTATTAGATTTTACTTAAAATATTTTATTAAAGCTCAAATTGAATTAGACTATTAATTCTAAAACTAAATCAAAATTTTAGAATGAGCTTTAAATATGATGAAACTCCTTGCGTTGACTGAAGCATTAAAATCAACCTTCTAAAAAAATCTGCTTTCTTCAATTTTATTAAAAATCTAATTTTTAATCTTTCCTTAAGCTAATCTGAAAGAATTTCAAATGCCTTTACTGAGATAATAAAGGAGTTAAAACTTGTTTATAAGATTTAAAGGATAATTTTGAAGGTCTTAATACCCTATAATTTTTTAGACTCTGATACTATGCTTCTATCTAAGATAATCATCATTTTAACATATGATTACATTAGTCATACTGTATAAATTAATAAGAATGTAGAAAATAAAATAAATAGTTTTTTTTAATATTTTAAATTGATAAATGAAAACAGATATTTTTTCATAGATTAAGAATTTAAAATTATCATCAAATTAGCTATGTTAAGTTCTCTTATATATTAAAATTATCTCTTTGCTAAGTTAAAGGACAAAAAGTTCACATATTTTGTTTTTAGAAATAGATATATCCTCACTTCTTTTTGAATAATTTAATCAAAGTGACATGATGTTCATACTCGTATTGCTTCTGTTCATTATAGCAAAATATTAAAACTTATTTCTCACTTGGTATTCCATTAGCAAATGTGTAAAAATTATATATAATTTATAGTTCAAAAATTATTTATTCTTTTTCCATTTAGAGTTTTTGATGAAGAATGAAATTGATTTGCAATTCAATAGTAAGGCTAATCTAAAAGAAGAATTGTTTTTAATTTATGCGTTGATTACAATTATTGTAATTATTTTAAGAAAGATGTTAATAAAAATTCAGTTTGAAAAAAGAAAGATAGCAAATTAGAATATTAGTTAAATTTAATACAAACTGATTAATACAATTGAAAAGTATGATATTGAGCTCATGTTTTTTTTTATATTGATTTGATTATTTAGTTTCCGAAATTTTCCTTAAGAATTGAATATTAACAAGTTTAGCAAACAATCAAATTTTAAAAAAGATTAAAGTAAATATATTATAATAACAAGAAAATCCTTCAAAATTCTCAATAATTATTCCTGCCTATTTCCAAAAAGTAACAAATATAATTCCACTATACTAATAATCTGGACCAAAATATACTTGTCTAAATATATGATTGAGAAAAATGTTGATTTATTTATCCAAAAAAGTATTAATTAATGATAAATAAAATATATTTAATACAATTTTTTACAGTTTCGCCCAATATTTGAATATGATAAAAATATTTAATTTTAATTTTTA